AAAGAAAAATGCGAAGTTAAAGTGCCCTTGTGCCTGCCGTTTTCTAAATAGCTTCAGGTCAAAAGAATCCTTACACCAAAAAGTTGTATTTGGGGTGGCATACTCTGTCACCTTCAGCACTCATACCGTCTCCACTAGAGGAGTATCTTTTGGTTCTTTTCCCTTCTCTCCCCACATCCCTCTGAGGATTTTAGCATCCTTCCTCCTTAGGTCTTCCATTCCTTTCTCCTTCTATCCTTCTACTTTTTTTAAAATTGTTTTTACTGAATTTTTGTATATTTTACACAGAATATCTCCAACAATCTTCATCATCTTTATACCCCTGTCCCAACGGACACGCTCCCACAGCCTCCCCCCACCCCACTGGAACCCACATACTCCATCATCCGTATTAAGGCCCAATATGTCAAGTCAATGTCCCCAGATGTTCCCCTGTGCAAGTCCATCCACTGAGGTCCAGTCAGCCTATCTAGAGTCTCTTGTTTTAGAAAGATCAGCTCTTCCTCACCCAGCAGTAATCAGCTGTCAGTGTTTCCTCAGCTAAGATTGGGGTCTGCTGTTCATTTCCCCAGTTCTATGCTGGATTTTTTTCTGCTAGTTTGCATAGGATTTTTGTATGCTGACACCATTGTCATAGAATCATATGAGCAGGGTCCCAGGAGCTTGTAAGACTTTCCATATGGTCCTGCACCTCTTCCCTGGCTCTTACAATTTTTCTGCCTCCTCTTCCACAATGGTCCCTGAGCCCTGGGTGGGTGGTTTAATATAGAAGTCCTGTCTATGGATCAGTAATCTGCACTCTTAATCTCTACATTTTGGCCATTTGTAAACTTTTGTGTTCCTGTCCCTCTGTTGCATGAGGGAATCTTCATTAATGAGAATGGAGAGATTCATTAGTATCTTCTTCATTACTCCTGTTCTATGTTCTGTGTACCTTAGATGTAAAGGTTGCATTGTAGCTGTGTCACTTAGGCCTGAGCAATTCATAGACAGTGTCTGTGTGTGACCAGTTGTGGTATTTGGTTAACAGTCTCTGGTGCAAAATAAGCTTCTTTGATGAGTGGTGATGGGATGTTTGTCTCTAAATATAAGGATACATATTTTGCACATACCAAGAAATCACATTAGTTTATGGATGTGACAGTCTTGGGGTTTTCTCTAAGATCTATGACCTCTCCAGCCATTTGTATTTGATTATGTTTAGAGTACCACACTTGAGTTTCCTCCAACTGAGTGAGCTTTTAGTCCAATTAGGTAGCTGTTGATTGCCCCCAAGATAAAAGTGCCACTACTGCACCAATGTCATATGTTGTGCCAGCCACTGATGTGGCTATTTGGTCTTGAAGATGGTGTTGTACCATCAACTGATGTTTTCCCTTGGCACCTTGTGTAGTGAGAGCTAGCCTTCAGGAGAATTGGTAGCAGGCCAGTTGCAGCTCGATTGCTCCAAATCTGGGTCCGAAGTATGTTCTGTCTTCAGCAGCAGGGTCTTACCTTCAAGTTCTGGGAAGCCACCAAGGGCTGAGGCAATAGCCTGTGTAATTTGGGGAGTCTCTTGGACCACCCTGGCCAACAACTCCTGGAAAGTTTCTCCTGTCTGACATTGTTTCTTGTTATAAAGCTTTTAGCTATACACATGAGCCTCCCTGCAGTCCCAGCTAGCCTTGAATTCACAAAGATTCACCTGCCTCTGCTTCTTAAGTGCTGGGATTAAAGGTGTGTGCCACCACACCCAGCCTATCTTTCAACTTTCACCAACTGTTTGTTTCTTTCTGCTCTGATAAAAACACCAAAACCAACTTGGAGAGGAAAGGATTTATCTTCCATCTCCCAGGTTACAGTTCATCACTGAGGGAGTCCAAGGTAGGAACTCAAGGCTGAAACCTGGAGGCAGGAGCTGAGGCACAGGCCATGGAGGAATACTTTCTGGCTTGCTCCCCTGACCTGTGCTCAATCTGCTTTCTTATACAACACAGGACCACCTGGCCAGGGGTGGCACCACCACAGTGGGATGAACCCTCCCACATCACTCAACGCTCAAGAAAATGGTCCAGACATGGCCACAGGTGAATCCAATGGAGGCAACTTCTCAACTGAACTCTACTCAGGTGTTGTCAGGTTGACAACTGAAGCTATCCGGCATGCCAACCATCTTTTAACATGGTTCCTATGGCTCAGCTAGTAAACATCTTCCAAAGGCTCACATGCTAGTTTTGGTCACTACTCTGAGGCACTGTTAAGAGATGGTGAAACTTTTAGGAAAATGGGACCAGAATTTAGTTCAAGGAGTGTGCCCTTGAGGGGAATACTGGAATCACAGCCCCATACTCCCTCCACTACCTCATCACCATGATGTGAAGCAGTTTCCTCCCATATGTGTTCTCCACCATCTTTGATCTTGCCAAAGGTCATGGAACAAGCTTGATCATGGACTGAAACCTCTGGAACTGTGAGCCAAAATAAACCTCTCTTCCTTTTAAGGTGGTTTACTCCAGGTTTTTGCTACAGTGACAGCTGACAAGTTGACTGAGGTTGATATATACATTCAGTGCTATAAGGAACACCTACTGTGCTGTGACTATGGATTATTTCTAAAGCAGTATATTACTGTAACTATATATGTAACATTCGCTGAGGAGCTTAGTATACTTCAAAGACATTTAAAAACATTATATGAATCCAGTGTGTCTGCATATGCGAGTACAGGCACACACATATGACAGCACATATGTAGAGATCAGAGGGCAACTCTGGAGTCAGTTTTCTCCTGCCCACCATCAGGATCCACAGAAAGAACTCAGGTCATTAGGTCTGTGTGCAAGCATCTTACCTGCTAAGCCAGCTTTCTAGCTCATGAAAACATGGTTTTATAGATTCCTTTCCTAGAATTCCTAACTGGTTTTCTTTTCCTATGCAATATGCACTTTTCATTTTGTTGGTCAGGAATTACTGAGCCAGCTTGAAGTCAGCTACACATTTGATTTTCCTACTGCACTGCAACATAGGTAAATAATCACTTTGAAGAGTGCAGGGAACAGAAGGGCCCTTGGTCATTTGGAAAGCAACTACTCTAGATGATCTCTAATTTAGACATTTTCATAGACTTCAAAGGAAATACTCTGTTCATTAGTGGAAGTGCTAACACTTAAAAAAAATCAGGTTCATGAAAATATAAAGTTCAATGCATTCCTTTACTGCTGGGAGGGAAAAGGTAGCATTAAAGCAGACTTCTAAATACATAGGAAACAAAACCTCAGGAACAAGAGGAACAAAATATATTTAAAAAAATAAAATTAGCAAAATGGTAAGAAGTCTTCCCCTGCCCCAACTCCTAGAAATAATTATTAAATAAAGTATGATAAAATTTCTAAACTTATTAGGTAGTAAAATAAATCTCAAAAGAATACTTATATACCCCCCTACCCTTTAATAAAAATATACTTTATGTAGGCTTAACTCCTGTAGATTGGTTTACAGCTTCTAATTATCCAGTTAACCTGTCAAACGGATTTTAACTTTCCACATTAGAGCACCAACTCTAGGCTCTTCAGAAGCTGAAAACCCAGATGTTCAAGGATGTTTTGTTCAAGGATTTGTAAGGCAGAGGAAGTAGACATGCAGCAGTTAGTCATAATATGCCTCACTCTACAAGTTGCATGTGAACAGGAAGAGTCACTGTCTAGCCTCCCCCGAGGGACTTAGGCAAGGAGAAGCCTAAGGATATAATGCTAAGTAGGACACTTGAAATACACGGATTTTCTCAGGAGGCCAAAGGAAAGACCAAAGGAGTACTGCAAGCAGAAGGAACTGTTCAACAGAGTGTGGTGGTAAGAAATCACTCATATAAATGCTGTGGGAATGACAGAGAACTCAGCAAGCAGATAAAAAGCAGATTAGAAAGTCTTTAAATATCACATGAGGGCTTACAGGTTTCATTCTAAAATAACTGAAAGCTTTCAGAGCAAGGAAATGCAATAATCCCATTTGTATTTTAAATGTCAAAGAAAGGCTGAAAGGAGTCAGGACTTGGCAGAATACCCAGAAAGGAAGTTTAAGAACCTGTGTATGTTAGTTTGCCTTGGCTGCACAACAAAATTCCAGACCCCATGGCTTATGAAATGAGAATTTATTGTCTGACAAATATGGAAGCCAGAAGTCTAAGAGCAAGGTTCTGGCACAGATGGGGGTTCCTGGGATCTCTTTCTTTAGCATGTAGAATACTTCCTTACTTCCTTTGTGTGTCTGTACACAGCCTTCCCCCAATGCCGCACACACATTTCAAATGTCTTTTGTAATGAAGGACCCACTCAACAGTCTAATTTTACCTTTCTTGATTTTCCTTTTTTTTTTTTTCTTTTTTCTTTTTTTTGAGACCAGGTCTCCCCATAGCCTCTGCTGGTCTGGAACTCACTAGTAGGCCAGGCTGGGCTTGAACTCACAGGAATCTGCCTGCGTCTGCCTTCCGAGTGCTGGGATTAAAGACATGTACCACCATGCCCAGCCGTCACTTTTTTTAAAAAAAACAAAAATTTTATGTGTATGAGTGTTTTACCTGTGTGTATGTAGGGGCACCATGTGCATGCAAGTTGTTAGCTGCCACGTGAGTGCTGGAAACCAAAACCAGGTCCTCTGAAAGAGCAACCAGTGCTCTTAACTGCTGAGCCATCTCTCCAGGCCCCTTAATTACTTTGCTTAAAGGCCTCATATTCTAAGGAACCAGGGATCAGTACTTCAACACGTGAGTTTTGGAAGGACACTATTCACTTCATAACACAGTGAATGGCTGTGAGAACAGAGAAGAGGAGTCAAACTAAAGCAAAGCTGGGAAGCAGAAGCCTACACAGCTTCATGGGTTTACTAGATGCAAGTGATATTACAAAGTGATATGAAGGTCTGCCTGATTTTGGTTGAGGTAATCTGGGAACCTAATTTGACAGATCAGGCCATTTGACATTTGTCACAAACAAACAAACAAAACAAAAACATCAAAAGAGACTTAGTGCGTTATTAATGAAGAGTTCAATTTTTAATCTGCTGCAACTGAATCAATAATGTAGTTAACAAGCAAGTAAAGTTCAGAGTATAGGGAAAGCAATAGTGTTGGAGGCTGAGGGTATGTGATACTGTGCACCCAGAGAATGTAAAATGGACACCAGAGAGACTGGTGAAACAAGTCAAACACAAAGGCTCCCAATGCCTATCAACAGAGGCAAAGATTTCATCTGAACAGACAAAAAGTGCTACAAAAATTAAGGGACAGAATACTTAGTTGCACATGGGGCTAATTCTTAAATCTTCTCCAGAAGCAGAGATAGTTTACTTCAAGCACAAACATAGAAACATTTTAATGAATTCTAATTTATGGTAGCAATTTATATTTTATTTTTACTATCCAGCACACTTTCAAAATACTCTGCAGAGGTTATATAGTTGATTCTACCTTTTGTAAATTTCAGATCTTTAAACGAAATAAATCTGAGTGTGATGTCATATACCGTATAATGCTCAGTAAACTGAGTTTTTCAGGATCAATTATTCTTGATACTTCCATTTGCATTACAATACAAAATTTAAAGCCTTTTATAAAACAAATGCTATCTTCATCAATACGTATACCTTGAATATTCTTGTGGAGGTGTGAAGACTTGATTAGTATCAACAATAATACAACAATAACACACCTTAAAAACACCATGGTCTTAAGTAGTTTGCAAAATTCTCATGAAATCTACTTCAGTTAGACTAATAATTTTATGCACAAAGCTGCAAACAAGCTGCACATGAGCTGTATGTTCATCCAGGAACAATACTGTGAACACTGTTTAGCCAATCAATAAAGACACATTAAAACTGCACATGATTCTGGAGACCCTAAGGCACAAATACAAGTGACTTCTTATTAGGGTTTTAAAAGGGAACAAAGATTTTATGGAAGATTTTAATAAATTTAACACTATCATATAATAAAGAATAAAAATTTTCACAAATATTTCCTCACAAACCTGGCAATCTCATATTTATACAGTATTATTATAGCAATTTTAAGTGTTCATCTATGATACAATAATGTTACTTCAGAAAACATAAAAAATATAGTTCTTTTTAATGGCCATGCTCCCACTTCTGATGAAAGCTAGACAGTTCATCTTAATGTTACTTTAAAATTCTGAAAATGCTAACAGGTATCAGTCTGTTTCATAAAGCTAAGGGTGGAAGGTTGTCAGGCAGAATAGGCAGATGGCTCATCATCACTTAGATCTGAATCTTCATCCACACCTTCAATGACTGACTTCTTCCCTTTACAGCAGGACACAACTAATCCAATCAAGAATACCTGTAAATTTAAACATGTTGTGTTACTGTTTCAAATCTAAAATTATTCAGAAGCAATTCATTTAAACTCAATGATAGTACTGAGATGCCCACAGGCTACTGGGAGTTGCACAAGTTTATATGCTGAACTGTTTAAAAGGGTTGAATCAAGTTCCTTACACTTACCCCAAGAAAGGCCCAGTTACCAAAATAGTATGCAGCACTGAAGAACCAGAACTTGTGAAGAAATAGGTATGTCCGGGTTACAGTACACTGATCTGTAAAAGCAAATAAATGATTATGTTGTTGATTCACTTGAATCTAAAATGCTGTTAACTAAATCATATAGACAGTGACCTAAATCACATAAACAGTGAATATTAGAGGAAGGATCTAGGTCTTCTCCAAAGCCTATTTTCAATCACATCCATATACTTTTAAATTGCCAAGTATTATGGCATATGGAAAAGAAACAGAATGCCACTATTATAATTTTGATATTAATTATAAAGGCTTTATTGGTCAGTTCAATTTATTTAAAATAGAAAAGCAGTTATAACATGGAATGCCAGGCATCACAAAACAACACAAAGATCTCCCATTAAGAGAAAAAAAGAAAAGAGGGATCCAATATGTTAGAATATGCTGCACTTCTTTAAGACACCAATTCTCAGGACAGCTCACTTAAGAGGATTTTACTGAGCTCATTTTAAGGATGGTACTAAAATGGTAGTTGGTTCCTCTAAAGAAACACCAAGGTCATTCACTCTTGTGATATGGTTCTTGCTGGAAGTTTACATATTACAGCTTCAATTAAAAATGATTCATATATTTCTCCTTCAAATAACATTTAACTCTTAAAGAGAAAGCAAACTAGTTATTTAATAGCTGTGTTGGTAGCAGACTAACATTACGCAAATACATTATATTCATTATTCCCATTAAGTTAAAAAAGACACACACAAACAGTCTTCTAGTAAATGAAGTCTGAGGAAATAACTTTTCAAGTCATTCAAAAAGCCCAAACAGCACAGTGAGAAACTGCATTTACTGCTACTGACAGAGTTCAACAATTTTATACATTCCAGATTGCCTTTATTCTTTCCAGAACAAATCGTTTGTCTTACAAAACAAATTCTTTTCCATCTATTAAATAAAAGAGTATGATTTCTGCATATTTTTCTCTAAAATGGGCAGTGGTCAAACATTATATATGCAATTGGGTGATGTCATATCCTGCTGCTGATTAAGAAATCTATCTTTAAGTTGTATCTCTATGAAATGTCTTCTCACCTTCAATAAGTGCTATTAATTTTTTCTTAAAAAAATAAGCTGGGAGTTTTGTACCCTAGTTTATTACACAAGGATCAAATACACTTTCCTAATTTTTTTGTTGTTGGTTGACACACACTTTCCTGAAAAGTAGAAATCAGGCTGTATTTTACAAGAATACAAGACATTTCCTATAGATATGTAAATATTTAAGTAATCTGAATCTGATCCCTTCCACTGTACTTAACTCTAGTTCAGGAGATTCGATGCCTTTTTCTGACCTCTAAGGGCATTGCATGATTCTAGTCTACTTATATACATGCAGACAACACACACATAAAATACAAATAGCATTTTATTTATTTTTTTAATATTTTATTTATTTTTATTTTATGTGTATGCATGTATTGCCGGCATGTAGGAAAATGCATCGGTGTCGTGCGATGCCTGCGGAGGTCAGAAGAGGCTGTCGGATCCCCTGGGACTGGAGTTACAGACAGTTGTTAGCTGGTACATGGGTGCTGGGATTCAAACCTGGGTCTTCTACAAGAACAACCAGTGCTCTTAACTGCTGAGCCATCTCTCCAGCCCCAATAAAAAATAAATAAATATTTTAAAAAACCATATTCCTTTGAGATATAGAGGCTATAGGCCAGGACTTAAATGTTTGTTCACAACTGTGATGAGTAATCTTCATAGTCAACTTAACAGGATTTGGAATCTCCCAGGACACACATCTCCGGATGTGTCTGGGAGTTTGTTTCCAAAGAGGCTTGACTGGAATATGGGCACTACCATCAAATGGGCTGGGGATCCAGACCGAATAAGACAGAAAAAAGGAGAAAACAAGCTGAGCCTCACATTTATCCCTCTTTGCTTCCTTTAGACATGGTATGACCAGCCACATAACCTTTCCTGCCATGATGGATGGTACCTCTTCTCAATCTATAACCCAAAATCAATCCTTCTTCCCTAAATTGGCTTTGCCAGGTTATTTTGTCACAGCAATGAGAAAAGTAACTAATATCATAATTATTTTAAAAATAAGAACAATATCTTCTACAGTTTAAATATTATAAAGGTCCTATGTCCAAGTATAAAACTATTTGGAAAAAGTCACTTAACATTCTTAATACCATTAGCACTCTAAACAAAAAAACAGAAGTTTTATTATTCATTTCCACACTAAGAGACACTTTGGGAGTTAGAACTTGCCTGAATTAGGAATTTCAGTGCCAGAAGAGGAATTACAAGACAGAGCTGAGCTGGCAGAAGCAAGTGCAAGCGAAATCACTCCCCCAGAGGCCCAGTATTCTAGAACTCAGTGACATTTGAAATTAACACAGACTGGTTTCTCTGGCCTACCACCAAAACCGTACCTTCAATGTTCTTCCTACTACACTGTTTACTGGTTTTCCATTTTTTAAAGGTTGTGGACTTGAATACAAGCTTTCTAAAATTAAGGTAAAGGTATTACTAGTGGTCTGCTTTATGGTTAAAAAATGAAACTAGGCCTGAATGTGGTAGAGCCTGCCTTTAATCTCAGTACGCAGGAGGCAGAGGAAGGTGGATCTCTGTGAATTCCAGGCCAGTGTGGTCTACATAGCAAGTTCCAAGTGAACCAGGGTTATACAGTGAGACCCTATCTCAAAATACTACCCCTCCCACCCAGTAATGAAAAAAGAAACTAGACTAAAAATCCCTGAGTATGCAACAGCGTTTCATCTTTATGTGTCTGCTACATTTAGTTTTATTCACATAAAGTGGATAAACCCAGAGAGCAATTTTTGTAAATTAGCCTTATACTCCTATTTCATGCTCAAGGGATGACTGCATGACAAACAAAGGGAGGGGAGACCCCTGCTCACTACCTGCCAACTTCCAGTTGCTCACCTGTGTACAGACCTCTAGCACATCTATGGATCTTTCTAAAGTTGTCTGAGGAAGTAACTGTAAACTTTTTAAAACTTTCTTCGACCTTCACAGTCAATTTAGGGCTGAGGAGATGGTTCAGTAGGTAAAGCGATTATGCATACATTAAGACCTGAGTTTGGATCCCCATGACCTATGACTGATGTAAAGTGGGACGCAGTAGCACACATCTGTAACTCCAGCACTCCTTTGAGATGGGAGGTGGAGAAAGAAGAGTTCTATGAAGCTTGTGGACCCGCTAGCTTGGCTTACACAGCTGTAAACAAAAGAGTGTTTCAAACAAGGTGGAAGTCCAGGACCCACAGTTGAGGTTGTCCTCTGACCTCCATGCATGTATCATGGCACATGTCTGCTCGGGAGAGAGGAGGGGGAGGGGGAGGGGGAGGGAGAGCACTCAGTTTAATTAGTGCATGTTCCATTTAGGGATTGTGTTTTAAAACCAGAACTATTCAGGGAACTTGTGATTGTTGTCACTGAAAAGGACAAAGAAAGTTCCAATTAAACCAAAGGTCAAATATTTATCATAAAGACTTAAAACATTTTTTTCTTCCTGATGACAAAGTATGAAAGTTAAGAGTTGAAAAAGGGCACCTTAAGTACATAAACAAAACTGAAAGATTTTAAAATCCCACCACTGCCACCTTCCTCCATCTCATTTCACACAGCATCAGAGAAACAACTCACAGAAAAATGCACCTACACCACTGTTGGTCACACAAGAGCGGCCTATATTGCTGTGTCCCGAATTCCCTCTGGGTCTCCTGTGCTATCAGACAAACCATATATTTTATGTGTATTTATTAACTTACAAAGGAATGAGAACTCAGTGCCTAGCCCCACGCCCAGGACACAACTACCATAGTCCCCACCAGCATTTGCTCATGCCTCAGGGGCCAGCGATCTCGCCCCAGGTCCACAAGAGTCAGTCCATTCTGTCTTTGAGCTGCTGCAGCTGGCTAGCTGCTGCGGCTGGCTACCCAAGGCTTCTGTCCCAAGATGGCTCCCAGCAGCCCCTTTGTAGTGCCATGCTCCGTGTCAGGCCCCACCCACTGGAGGAACTAGCTAATTGGGAGACAATTGCTTTACAGGACAGTCTGAATATTAGACATTTATTTCCTTTATTTCCTTATTTATTTCCTTTCAGATCACTAGTTATGACATTTTTAACAATTGCACTAAGTAACTGATTAATAACTATAATAAATAACGTAATTTATTTAACTGTATTTTTAATGAGCAGTGTCAGTATGAGCACAATTGAGATCATTTCATGGGCTTTTCGTTAAGACCAAGTTTAATCCACAATTCAGTCATCATGTTAACCTTCACTCAAAATTAACATAGCTGTACTGTGTATTTGCACTACTTATCAAATGATTTTACTTACCAAAACTGTAATTATTTATCAAACTGTTTTAAGAAAGAAAATACTATCATGAGTGTAGTATAGATAGCCTGGGGCTTGGTGGTGGAGAAAGAGGTTCATTAAGTTAGGAGATTGCATAGTGTAAAACACAGTTATAGGGATGGAAAGTAGGGTTGAATCTAAGAGATCTTTATCAAGTTAAATCACTGTTTTTGATTGTCAAGTGTTTTTACGCTATACATGAAATACATCCACCTTAGAAGATTTGAAAGGAATATATACTCAAGATTAATGAGGAGGAAAAATAAAATATGCAATAAAAACCAAGGCTGTTATCTTGAAGCTGAGCAAATGGCAGACAGTTAAATCTGTTTTCTTAAATCTCACTGGAAAAACTGGGTAAAGGGAAAGAGAATTAACAGGCATCAAAAATCATAGAAATTCTAACAGAAACAGTTTTGCTATATCTTGAGAGTATATGGACTATACCAGACTAATAAAGATTGTCAGATGCTCTTTACTAAAGAATAAATTTTACAGTGACCATTTTAAAGAACCAATATAGTTTGTGTTGAGATCTGAACATATTTAAGAAGGTCTAAGCCAGGCATGGTGGTCACTAGCACTGTAATACTAGCACTGAAAGACAGAGGCAGGAGATCAGAAATTCAAGGCCAGCCTCCAAGTTTGAGGACAGTCTGGGCGACA